CACACACACACACACACACACACACACACACACACACACACACACACACACACACACACACACACACACACACACACACACACACAAACATCAGATATGGAGAGCCGTTTGATTTGGCCAAGCATCCGCAAGGGACGGAAATCAAGGCCATCACATACTCGAACATGCAAATTCACGACGACCAGCCCACGCATGACGTGTATGTGATTCTCGACATCTGACATTGTTGTGTTTGTTCAAAGTTGCATCATGAAATTTGGAAAGATCAGGAAGAAAGTCACAAAAGCTCTCAAGAAGACCATCGATAAGTCGCCATCAAAGGACTTGGCACGCACAAGTGTCAAAGAAGACAACAAGCTGTCACTTTCTCCTTGCAAGCGAGTTAGCATGACGTTTCGTGAAGTCCACACTTGCTTGTGCAAGCGGGATGACGCGGCGATTACGCTCCTCTTTCACTTCTCACCACAGGCAGACAGTACGCAAGACAAAAAAAAAAGCCACTCAGCGAACACGCCTCAAAGTCAACACAACTGAATACGTGTGTACGCGTGCGTGTGTGTGTGTCGTTGATTTCTTCTTTTGCTTCTTTGGCTTGACAGCAGCACCGACACACGACGACAGCAACAAGAACGCAGGAACAACAACACAACAAGACAACACACAACAAGCAACAACACAACAATACAACGAAAGCAACAGGACAGGAACAAGAACACACAAGAGAACACCGCTCGCTCCATCATTGCACTCATCGATCGATCGCACCTTGCCATTCTCCAACCACTTCGCCACGCCACAACGCCACCTTCGCCACCATTCGTTGTGGTGTGAAACCTTGCCCATCAATGCATATCATACGCCGCCATTCGTCACCGAACTACTGGTATGTGCGGGACATTATGCTCATATGCATTCGTTTCACACACCGTTTTCGCAGCATCGCCACCCCACTGTCATTCTACACACGCCAAAACGCCACCAACCAAGCCTTTCTCCTTTGCATGCACACATCGCTTCGTTTCGATGTTCGTTGGTTGACTCACCCACACACACGCACACTGCGCGGCAACACAACCAACACAACCAACCACATACACATGCGAACACATCATGTCATCCATTCAGAGTGCATAGTTTTGCTGCCTCTCTTCGTTCCCTCGCATTGCTTGCAACCAGTTGTCCACTACAGGTGTGTACGCCATGTGTGTGTGTGTGTGTGTGTGCGATTGCGCATCCGGTTTTCCCTCTGCTGCCGGCAGCCAGCTTTCTTTCTTGCATCTGCATGTTTGACATCGCTCCTCCTCTCCGCTCACAAACACATTCCCTCCCAACGTCCAAAACCTACCTTTCACTCACCACATACACACGCATACACTCACACGAAACAACATTCCACATGTCACCAACACCCACCTCGCGCCTTGGCCATCGTGTCCTGCGGTTCTTGCATACCCGCCGCAAACCTTGCACCAATCAACCAACCAACCAACCAATTCCAACACATCGCATCATCGTGGCGGCGTTGCGTCGCTGCAATCGTCAAACAGCGACGACAGCACCATCTCCCAGCAGCGACGATAACGTTCCACACCTCCCTTTGACCACCACCACCACCACCACCACCACCAAAAGTTTTGGAAGTGGCAGTGGTGACGGCCGCGTCGCACACCTGCAGCTTTCGCGCAGAACTTGCATTCCTTCCGCTAACGCGTTGACATCATCTGCGGCACAACCATCTTATCCGCACACTCCTCTCTCTCTCTTCCTTCTTCATCTTCCTCTTCTTCGACCTTCGTCCAAGAGAAGCAGCAGCCGCCCGGCCTCCACGACTGACGTGCTTTGTGGATCTTCTTCGTTTGTTTGCGTCATTTCCCTCCCTCCGTTCCCACCCACCACGACCGGCTTGCCGGTCACCATCGAACCAACCAACCAACCAACCAGCCAGCCACCACCGCCTACCACATCTTTCGCGAACATGTGAGTCTCTTCCTTTTCGTCTTGTGCTTGGGGTTTTGCACTCGCTCTGAATGCATACCCAAGGGTGCGTCACCGAGGCGGCATATTGCATCCGCCTGTTTGGGTTGTTGGCAATGCTGCTTGCCCTTTCCTCTCACCTGTCTCCCTTCTCTTGCATCTCTCCATCCATCCATGACACCAACTCATGCAACCACACCTGCATCTGCACACGTCATTTTCTCATCCCACCACTTTCCGTCATCACCATCATCGAACACACACCTGCTCACACTCAACACACACTCACACTCACACACACTCACATACTCTCTCTCAACACACTCACACAACACCTGCTCACGCTCAACACACACTCACACTCACATACTCTCTCTCAACACACACTCACACTCACATACTCTCTCTCAACACACTCACACAACACTTGCTCACACTCACACACACTTGAAACTTGCACGCATCGGCGTGTGCGCGTCATTTCCCTTGCCATCCCATCCGACTGTACCAGAGGAACACCTTCCTGTCCGCTTCTAGTCCAACACACAAACCCCACAGCAAGCAACCACCACCCAGCACAATGGCAGACGGCGTCCTGCTCGATCTCCCAGATGAGGTAACGTCAGCCACGTTGCTGTTGCCAGTCATGCGGCATTGCCTCAGAACCATTGCCATGCTTTTCGTTTGTAGTTTTGCAGTGCTTCCCGCTCTTGGGTTTATGTCCGCTTCCTTGCGATTCTCTCCTGTCACCCGAGCCCTTTGCCCACTCAGCGGCCATCCCACAACACAACTCACCACAACACACAACACAACACACACCAACACATCTATCTCACACCCCAACACAACGCACACGACTCACAACGAACGCACACACACACACACACACACACACACACACACACACACACACACACACACACATACGTACGTCGCGGCCTAAGGCACACGGCTAGCTGCGACAGTCACTCCTCTCGATTCCCTACCCATGTTTTCGAGATTCGCAATATGGAACCCGGGCCCAAACTATTATAGAAGTCCGTGGATTGCCTGGTTGAGCCAACACTACTACTCTACACCACCACAACACACACACACACACAACGACACACACACACACACACACACACACACACACACACACACACACACACACACACATACAACGGTTCACCTTGCAGTTGCTGGAACAAGTTGCATCGTACCTGGTGGATGACCCACAGAGCATAGGCCGCGCTGCCATGACGTGCAGGCGGCTGTACTGGGTGTTCACCGGCGAGCGCGTGTGGAAGCAGGTGCACAACCGCACAACCGAGTGTGCGCTGCGCATCACCGCCCGCGCTGGCAGCAGCAGCGGCGCACACGTGCCAGACCTGGGCCTCGACAACACATTCCGCATGAAGGCCGTGCGCAAGCTCTGCTTCACTTCTATCAACAAATGCAGCCTCTGCTTGCAGGCGTGCACCAACCGCGGCATCGACGCCTGGCACCTGCGCCTCTGCCACGACTGCCTCTCCACACAGGTCCTCACCAAGACGGCCAGCATCAAGGAGTTTGCCCTCAATGCCGCAGCCATCGCGGCGCACACGCACTTGCTCGTCCCAAACACCACCCGCACAGGCACCTTCTACCTGCGCCACCAGATGCGCCAGGTTGCCCTTGCCCACTGGGGCAGCGAGGAGCGCCTGCAGCAGGGGCTGGCCCAGAAGCGTGCCCGCCACGAGCGCAGGCAGTACCGCCGCAACGCAGAGCTCTCGCGCCGCCTCTCCCTCCTTCGCCACACCCTTGCCCACCGCGGCATTGCCCTCGACGACTACATCGACAACACCAGCACCGCAACCTCCCAACAGGCACCGGCACAGCACGCCAGCTCGCAGCCAGCGCACGCCCGGGCCGCCTCAGCCCCGCCTGGCCCGAGCCTCGCTGGCGACACCACGCCAGTCCTCTTCCGTACCGCGGTGAGCGCGTGCAAGGCGTTCCTGTACGACACGCGCGCAAACAGGATGCCAATGCCCGCGTCACAGGCGTCCTGGAGCCCTGGCGATGCGGACACAGCCGCCACCACGCTCGCGCTGCCGCTCCACGTGCCATCGATGGCGCCTGTGCCACCCAGCGCCGCACCAACGGCACTCAATGCCAGTGCCAACACGCGCGCCAGCAGCCTGGCGGTGTCAGCAGCAGCCGAGCCCACGTTGACGACATCGACAACAGCATCAGGCCTGTCAACCCCATTGCACCGGACAGATGCGCAGGCACGGTCTCCGCACCACCTGCGGGTCCTGGCCACCCAGCGCCGCAGCCGCAGTGACAGCGGCAGCAGCATGCGACGGGACAGCGAGGAAGCCCTGGTGGACCTGCGCATGTCTGCCTCCCCGGCCGTCTCTTCAACACCACCAGATGCCATTGCCGCGCCCACGTCCCCTTCCACCGACCCCGCCTCCCCAACAACCGGTCCATCAAGCTTCTCTTCCCCTTCCTCCGCGCCACCGCTCACCTCCGCGTCCACCTCCCCATCTTCTTCCTCAAAGCAGCAGCTGCAGTCGTGTGGCGACACCGCTACACTTGCGGGTACTTCGCCAGGTTCACTTGCGTCGTCGTCGTCGTCGTCGGCCTCGTCTTCGCCTTCTGTGTCCCAGGTCCCACCGCCATCACAAGAAGCCCCCATCGCCGATCCACGTCGCTTCACCCCAGCAACCGCCACCGCGAGTGCTGCGACTGCTGCATTTGCGGGCATGCCGCAACCACTTGCACTGGCGCCAGCGCACGCCATGTTCCAGCAGCACCAGCAGTACCCACAGCAGGAGGTGATGGCGGTTCTTGACCGGGAAGAGCAGAACGAGTTGAATGCTCTCGCAGACACGATGGTGCGTGCCGTCACAGCCATGCACCGCCTTGCTGCCGTCCGTGCAATGTGGCCCGGCGACCACCTCCCCGAGTGGTGGCTGCAAGGCTCTGGTCTCGTGCACATGGCCACCGCGCTGTACCCGGACCTCGCTGCCTTCCTGGAGGCGCGCGACGTTCAGCCTGGACACGCGTTCTGCCCGCAGCGCATCCACCAGGACGCCGCGGCCGTGCTACACAGCGTGGCCACCCGCGAGCATGCCCGCACACACACCCTGGAAGGGACGTATGCACTCCTCCGCGACATCACCTCCAAAGTGCCGGGCCAGGCCAACGAGATCATGCTCTCGTCCAACCTCACCGCCACCGCCAGCAACCCCACGCCGCCCACCCCGACGATGGCCGTGTGCCAGGTGCTGTTCCCGCTCTCCTGGACGGCGTTTGCACTCCCGGCGGTGGTGGTGCAGCGGAAGCAGCAGCTGCAGTCGTTCTGCGCTCGCTACGGCTGCACGGCGCTGCCCACAGATGCGGAGATTGCCTTCCACAAGCGCTGGGGTCGAGCACATCTGCACATTGCGCACCGCTTCTGTGAGTTTTTGGACGGCGACAAAGCACTTACCGCGGACGATGCCCGCGCGTGGGCCGCGTACGAGGGCACGCACGAGCGCAGGCGCATCCAGGCTCTCTTGCATGCATGCAGCGAACAAGGGGTGCAGCTGACAACGGACCTTGAGCTGGACCACGCCGGCGTTGCCAAGATGTACATCAGCCGCTTCCTCTCCCATCGCATCCACACCCTCACCTCGTGCCCCTTTGTCAACCCAGCGCCGTTGCAACAACAGCAGGAGCAGCAGCAACAGCAGCAGCAGCACCAGGCTGAAGGTGATAACGAGGCGCCAGATGCTTCCACCAGCACCACCACCACCACCACCACCACCCCTGCTGGCACCACAGCTGACGACGCTGCAACAACGGAGAGCGGGGTGTGCGTGACGGCCGGGTGTGGATGCCAGGAAGAGTCGCTGGCCACAATGGTGCAAGCGCTTGTCAAGTGGAAGGAGGCCGTGACCCGGCTGCAAGAGGCAGACCCAACGGGTGCACACGCCTTTGGGAGCTTGCGTTGCATTGCCTCCAAGCACATGCACCAGCAGTTTCTGGCTGCGGCGTTTGCTGACTTGCCCCAGCACGACTTTGCCGACCTCAGCACCATCGCCTCGTTCAAATTCAAGGGCTACTTCAACCTCAACCTCTCCGTCAAACCATGGGCAGCCACACCAACAACAGCAGCAGCTTCAACAGCAGCACCACCAGCGCATCGCGTGCCATCTGTTCGCCTCATGGCCAAGCGAATTGCCCGCACAGAGGCCGAGTTCGCTGATCGTCTCAAGCACGTCACCACACTCCTCTCCAGCCATCACCTACAGCTGCCCGTGCGCTGGCTGAACCTTGACCCCTCATCCGCCAGCAGCTCGGCGGTGTCCTTGCAGGCACGCGTCATCTCCTCGTTTCTGCATGACCCGGAGACTGGCGCCACACCGGCCGATGTGGACGCGGCCGTCAAGGCGTGGGTACAGCGCAACGAGGAGCGCAGTGCACGTCAGAGGATGGTGCGCCGCGCTCTGGCCAACGCGGGCCTCAAGACCACGCCCGCCAGCTGCAAGCCGCTGGCTGATGCGTACGTTCGCAAGGGCACCCACGAGTGTCTGCAGGCACTGGAGGAAGAGGCCGCCAAGCAGGCCCGCTCGCGCGCCCGTCGCCAGCAGTACAAGCAGCGCCGCGAAGAGGTGGAGCAGCGGCTGCAGAACGATCCGAGCTGGCAGGGCCTTGGCAGCCGCCAGAAGCGGTTTTGCCTGCAGGGATCAGCAGCATACGCCACTTACTGCGACGGCAATGAGCACGTGTCTCTGCAAGGCGTTGTGAGCGATGTCATGCACCACGCAGGCGTCGTCAAGCGCGCGCACAAGGGAGTTGTGCGCTACTCTGCCCAACTCAACACCGCCCACAACTAGCGCCCTCTGAACATCATCAACAACAACAACAACAACAACAACAACAACAACAACAACAACAACAACAACAACAACAACAACAACAACAACAACAACAACAACAACAACAACAACCATCCCCATCCATGATGATGTCCTATTGTTATGCTATCTATCGCGCGTGTGTTCGTGTGCGGTGTGGCATGCAAGCTACATGCCACACCCTTGATTGCCGCGTGATCCGTTTCGCCTTAGCAGTGTTGTGTTTTCCTCGCCTCATATTATTGTCCATTGGTCGCATATATTTTTGAAGTGATGATCAATGCCTTCTGTCTCAGTTTCGCCTCTCTTATTGCAAGCAGCGCACAGGCCCATGTGATGTGGGTCTGTGGTTCGCCTGTGCCCTTCTTCGCCTATTTGTTATTGTTGCTGCTGTTCATACTGCAGCTGGCGAGTGCGTGTATTTTCATATCTATGTCGCTCGTCCACTGCTGTACAACCCATCCCACGCGCTTATCATATTGGCCGTCTTTTTATTGTGTGTGTGTGCTGTTTGTGGTGTTGATTTTCATTTTCGTTGCCGGCAGTGGTGTTCCGCACAACACACGCACACGTTCGCGAGTTTAATGATGCAGCGCCAGCGTCGTTTGCTTCTTGTTTTTCATAGCGTTGACTTGTTCTATCTAATAACTTACCCTTTGATTTCTTCATTCTTCTGGTTCGCTTTGCTGGTGTGTCTGCATGCTTCTGCGTCCTGGCTGGAGTGAAGCGTCACTGGTTATGTTCTCCAGTTCCGTTCTCCTTTATTCTCGTTTCTCTATTGTGGGCTGTCTGACCATGCATGTGCAAGCGCATGTCCGTGAGACTTGCTTGAGGCTGTCCTTGCTTCTTCTTCCCCACCCAAGTACATAGTTGCCCGTTGAACCACGAAACCAAACAACACACGAGCAAAGATGTGTGCGTGTACGTGTGTACGTGTGTACGTGTGTACGTGTGTGTGTGTGTGTGTGTGTGTGTGTGTGTGTGTGTGTGTGTGTGTGTGTGTGTGTGTGTGTGTGTGTGTGTGTGTGTGTGTGTGTGTGTGTGTGTGTGTGTGTGTGTGTGTGTGTGTGTGTGTGTGTGTTGGTTGCGCAGGCGCCACAAGCACCCAACCCAACATTCTGATTGAAGCTCTTATCACACTCCTACTTGTCAAAAAATTGACAAGTCCAGCTGCCGGCATATTTTTGAAATCCGTCCAAGAAGAAGAGATGGCCACAGAAGTTGACCTGCGTGGGCGGAAGCATGGAACGCTGTGGCTGTCGTCGTCGGCAGCCGGGTTTGCGCCGTCAGCGTCGTCCTCAGCAGCGGCAGTGCAGGGCGGGGATGCGGGGCTCTTGGCCACCATTTATCACACAAAACGAGCAACGGCAAGCACGTTGCACGCGCACCGGCACCGCATCACTCACGCATGCTTTGATGCCAAGGGCAGCCAGCTCCTCACCGCCGACCATCGTGGCGACATCTTCTGGTTCAAACTCGATGACAACTGCTACAAGCTCGTGTACAACAATGGCACTCCACTGACAGCCATTGCCATTGCCCCTTCCATCAACAGAATCCTTATTGCAGACGCAGACAACTGGATCCGCTGCATCGAACTCTGTGCGTGGTTGTATGCGGTGTGCGTAGGTGTGTGTGTATGTGTGTGTGAATGTGTGAATGTGTGTGCGTGTGTGCGACAGAATGTGTGATGGAATGTATGTATGCGCGTGTGAGACTCTGTGTTTGTGTGTGCGAGACTCTGTGTGTGTGTGTGTCTGTGTCTGTTCATGTCTCTATACCTGTATGTAAGCGCGGCTGCCTTCAGTTGCATGATAACATTGGCACAGATTATCTTTGTTGCAAACCCAGCAGCTGCCACACGCATGCACTGGCTGGTTTGTTCGGCCACAGCCTCTACTATGCTCACGCTCGCGCGTTGTATGCCTTGTACTTCTCTCGCTGTCTCTCTGCGCATAGCCACGGGCTCTGTCATTGAGCAGTGGGGTGATGAGACTCAGAGCACGGTGCACAGGATCGACATCAATCAAGATGAAACATACGCCGTTGTCACATGTGGTGAGTATTCCCACTGCCCACCTGCACCAACCCCGGAACTCATTCATGTTGTTATTGTTGTTGTTTAAGTTGTTGTTGAAGTTGTTGTTGTTGTTTATGAAGTTGTTGTTGTTGTTGTTGTTGTTGTTGTTGTTGTTGTTGTTGTTGTTGTTGTTTAAGTTGTTGTTTAAGTTGTTGTTTAAGTTGTTGTTGTTGTTGTTGTTGTTGTTGTTGTTGTTGTTGTTTAAGTTGTTGTTGTTGTTGTTGTTGTTGTTGTTGTTGTTGTTGTTGTTGTTGTTATTGTTGTTGTTGTTGTTGTTGTTTAAGTTGTTGTTGCTGTTGTTGTTGTTTAAGTTGTTGTTTAAGTTGTTGTTGTTGTTGTTGTTGTTGTTGTTGTTGTTGTTGTTGTTGTTGTTTAAGTTGTTGTTTAAGTTGTTGTTGTTGTTGTTGTTGTTGTTGTTGTTTAAGTTGTTGTTGTTGTTGTTTAAGTTGTTGTTTAAGTTGTTGTTTAAGTTGTTGTTGTTGTTGTTGTTGTTGTGGTGGTCGAACGAACGACTTGCCTTCCCGCTGCACCATGCATGCAGTGCATACCAACATTCATTTCTGTGCTTCCTCGACCCACCGCCTGCCTTGTTGTCACACGCGGCTCACGGTCTCTTCAACACCACAACACCGGCTTGCACGTGCTGTGGGATCACCGTTCCCACTCCTGCTTTAGCCAACGAGGCGCTGTTGTTTCAGCTCAACCCTCTGCAACACTTGCGAAACCTCAACGGCGCAGAGAACGTCGGCGTGCAAGAGGTTGGTTGCAATGAATGGAAACGCGTGTCGGGAGGTGTTGAGTCGAAAGGGGTCAGGACCAGTACAGTACTGTATCGTTTGGTCATTTGTGTGTGTGTGTGTGTGTTTGTGTTGTAGCGCAGACACTCACTCACTCACTCACACACACACACACAAAACACACTCACACACACTTGTACACACACACACACACACAAAACACACACACTCGTACACACACACACACACTCCCTCACTCAATTGCTGCCTGGCGCATTGGCGACCAACTGAGCAGGTGCTGTTCACACCATCTGGGTCATTCCTCGTGACGGCATTCAAGGACGACACAATCATGCTCTGGTCAGCCGTCAACCTCCAGTTTGAGGCGCGGTTGCCCATTCCGACCACAGAAGGTGCGCGCGTGTGTGATTGTGTGTGATTTTGTATGTGTGTGTGTGTTTGTGTGTGTGTGTGTGTGTGTGTGTGTGTGTGTGTGTGTGTGTGTGTGTCTGTGCGTGTTTGAGCGTGTGCATGAGTCACGCGCACGCGTGCCTGTCTACACATGATATTGTGTGAGCATGTTGGGTCTCTCGATACACCCTGCACGTTGTTCACAATCTCGATGGCCACCGCAATCATCATCGCTTCCAACCTCACCCTCACGACGTTGCAGGACGGCTTGCACTTCGCTGCTTTGCCGTGTCGCGGGACAGCAAGCACTTGCTTGCCGGTGGAAAGTGCAGGTAAGACTTGAAAGGAAACCAAGTGGTGCCGCATGTTGTCTGTGAAATACCACTCATGCACAAGCACGCCCAGGTTCATCAAATCGTCACAAGCGCACATACGCAACTCCATCTGCACATGCAGCTCACGCCATCCACGCCAACCCAAACACCGCAGGTGTGTGTTCCTGTACAACATACCGACAGAGTCGCTTGTGAAAGCCATTGAGCTCCCGGAATCGTCAAGAGGTGCACAGACCATCCACTTCCTCTGGGCTGGCGCCGCCGACACGAAATTGCTCGTACGTGCTACGTGTGTGTATGTGAGGGAGATGATTGTAATTGTGCGTGTGCGTGTGTGTGTGTGCGTGTGTGTGTGTGTGCGTGAGTGCGTGTGTGTGTGTGTGCGTGAGTGCGTGTGTGAGTGTGCGTGAGTGCGTGTGTGCGTGTGCGTGTGTGTGTGTGTGTGTGTGTGTGTGAGTGTGAGTGTGAGTGAGTGAACAAGTGTTTGGTGTTCTTTGCAATGTTTGTATGCTCGAACACGTTGCGTTCAGCTGTCTGATTCGTTACCGACCATCTGCACAAGCCGCGTGGACATGTTGGTCTCATCTATGGGGTGCCTGTGAAGACCACTTGCTTCGCTGACCGCTTGCTGCTATTTGCTGTGTTGTGCAGATGTGCGGTGTTCTGGGTCACGATGGCGTCATTCGCTTCCTTGATGTCAACTCTGCGCAAATCCTGTCATCCGTTGGCCCGCAAGAGTTTCCCTTCTGCGATAACTTCTCCATCGACCCAAACGCAAGGTGACAGGATGGCGTGCCCTGTGGATGGAGTGTGCGTGTGTGTTTGGCAACAAGTTGAATGGTGGGGTTTACAAAATCGACTGGACCAATGGCTTGAATCATCGGCTGCACAATTTGTTGGTTTTCCAACACGTCACGATTGTATGACATGCCGCAACCTCACCCCTATTGGGCCCTCACTCACGTATTGCCCCATTTCGCGTGTGTGCGTGTGTATGACGGTATTGCAAACATGCAGGTATCTCGCTCTGGTTCGTGCGACGGGCGAGCTTGGCCTGTATGACCTCGTGCAGCTGCTGAGACACACGGCAAAGGTGGCACGCAGCAAGGCCAAATCAAAGACAAAGCGCAAGAAACCGCACAAGCAGCGGGCTAGCGGATTCCGGAGCCACCGCCGCACAGCACCATCCTCGACAACAGGCGGCACGAGCGTCGGTCGTGCCACCACAACAACAGGAACGAGTGTCTCGGGCGCTTCGTCGTCGCATCTCACGCGATCAGCGGCATCAATCAGAAGCAGGCACACCGACCGGCGGCAAACGTGCGTGCGTGCGTGTCTGCTTGCTTGCTTGCTTGCTTGCTTGCTTGCTTGCTTGCTTGCTTGCTTGCTTGCTTGCTTGTTTGTTTGTTTGTTTGTTTGTTTGTTTGTTTGTTTGTTTGTTTGTTTGTTTGTTTGTTTGTTTGTTTGTTTGTTTGTTTGTTTGTTTGTTTGTTTGTTTGTTTGTTTGTTTGTTTGTTTGTTTGTTTGTTTGTTTGCTTGCTTGCTTCTTGGTTGGTTGGTTGGCTGTGCCATTGCCAAGCTGAATGGCGATCTCGCTTGAACATGTGCGTGTGATGCGATAGGGCGCTTGTCGTTCTGGCTTGACTCACCCACTGAATGGGATTGCTTGGTTGTTGTGTTTGTATCACAGACGCTCTGGCCCGCAAGCACACCAGCAGGTATGTGCCGCCGACCGTCGCGTACTCGTGATTGAACGCAACTCCCCATTGCACATCCATATTATGTGTTTGTTGCCACATCTGTAATCTCCTTGGGTGATCTCACCACGAATTCTGGGTGTGGATGCGTGTGGTTGCTGCTCACAGGAGAGCGCCTCAGCGGAACATTTGGAGCGATATTTACAGTCGCTTCCACGCGAGGGCGTACCCATCCTCCACGATGCAATGGATGTAAGCATTGTTTTCTTGTGCTAAACGACATCACAACTCGTACTTGTGGCACACACGAGCACACGTTTACACATACACACGTTCATGCACGCTCATCACAGCACACACACACGTGTTCACACACCACACAACACCATACCACATCACACCACACCACACCACACCACAACGGCATCAGCGGCCTGCAATCAACTTTCTCAAGCTGAGGCGAGTGCTGCTTGGATTTGGTGAATACCCGACAAAGTATCGCAAGTACATTTGGAAGCGTGTGCTCAACCTTCCCAACAACGTGCTGGCCTACAACGCCCTCAACTCCCTCGGCACACACCCAGCGTTTGCTCGCCTCCAAGAACACTACCCGCTGCGCAGCCGCAAACTCCAACGCATTCTCCAAAGGTGCGCCTGTGCGTCTGCACATGCGTGTGTGTGTGTGTATGTCTGTGTCTGTTTGTGCCTGTGTGTGCAGGTAAGCTCACACGACGGCGGGTCTTTGCGCCCTATCCCTATTGATTGTTATTTTCCCTGTCGCATCGCTCACCCGTACCCTTCCCACGACTCAACGCTGTCACGCCGCACACAGAACCATGTCGTGTCTTGCGCACTGGGCGCCAATCTTTGGAGAGCTGCCATATCTGGCCGGGACCGTCTTCCCCTTTGTCCGCATGTTCCAAAACAACCCTGTCAGTTGTAGCGTGTGTGTGTGTGTGTGTGTGTGTGTGTGTGTGTGTGTGTGTGTGTGTGTGTGTGTGTGTGTGTGTGTGTGTGTGTGTGTGGGTGGGTGGGTGTGGGTGGGTGTGGGTGGGTGTATGTGGGTGTGGGTGTGGGTGTGGGTGTGGGTGTGGGTGTGTGTGGGTGTGTTTAGGTGTGTGTGTGGGTGTGTTTAGGTGTGTGTGTGTGGGTGTGTGTAGATAGATGAGAGGGAGATACACTTTGACCTTAGGTTCATCAAGTGCTCACATCGTGTGCCCTGCCTGGTGCTCATTGTTGGCTTGTCGCCGCAACCCTTTCATCAGCTGGAAGCGTTTGAAGTCTGCGCCACCGTGTTGACAAACTGGTGCCAACTCTGGTTTGAATTCTTCCCAAATCCTCCACTCAGTGTAAGCGTTTATTTCACTTCACGCAAACTTTGAGAGCGCGATTGAGAGTGTGTGTCTGGCTGTTGGCTGTCTGTGTGTGTGTGTGTGTGTGTGTGTGTGTGTGTCTGTGTGTGTGTTTAGCGTCCAACATGACCTTGTGACATGCATGGTTCTCTGCTTGAATTGTTTTGCCGTCTCATATGCACTTTTGTGTGTTCAACGCACTCTTCTTCTGTTTCCCTCTCTGCGCGCAGGTGCTGAACATGTTGGAGAACTTGCTGGCCGAGCACGATGTGGAGGTGTTGCAGCACTTTGTTGAGCTCGGCATGACAGCGCAGGGTTATGGCTGGCCCCTCCTCCAAACCATGTTCTCTGACGTGTTTGCCGAACCAGAGTGGCTGCGCGTGTGGGACAACGTCGTGTCCAACCATCCCGGCTTCATCATGTACATTGCGCTTGCATACTTGAAGGCATCAAGGGTAAGGAAAGGCGAGCGTGACAGAATGATGGCCAATATACACGTTGCATCCTCGTGTGACTGGTTCTCTGACAGCTCTCAAAGCCAAAGTGCCGTGTGTGAGTGTGTGTGTGCATGTGTGTGTTGTGCTGCGTTTGCGCGCGCGCGTGTTTGTGTGTGTTTGTGCGTGTGTGTGTGTTTGAGTGTTGTGTGTGTGTGTGTTAGAATGCGCATATCATGTGCACGATAGACACTCATTCTTGCTTTGCCCAACACACGCACGGACATACCAAACAGGCTGCACTTCTCACGTGTGCGACGCAGGAGGACGTATCATTCTACCTCAGCAAACCAAACCCAGTGGACGCCGACGAAGTGGTCAAGCTGGCGTACGAGCTCGCAAGCATCACAACAGAAGACGTAGACACCTACAACCTCATGCACGTGCGTTTTTCCACACTTGAAAGCTGTCTGAGCTCGCAACCTCAACACAAACAAGTTGATGTGCGTGAGTAACCAACGTAATGGAAAACATCATGCAAGCACACCTTCCAAACCGTCTCTGCGCTGTACTTACGCCGCCGCTGCTGTTGTGCGTGCGTGTGCGTGTGTGCATGCGTGTGTGTGTGTGTGTGTGTGTATGTGTGTGTGTGTGTGCGTACATGCGTGTGTGTATGTGTGTGTGTTGTTCGCCGTCATCGCACGCAGGACTTTAAGCCACTGACGCCAGGCACCTACCCAGTCTTCAACGAATATCCAGAGTTTGTTGTCGACTACCAGGTAATGTGTTCATGTGCGACGGTGGATGAGTGAGCATCAACGTGCATGCTGACGTGTTGGCAAGGTAGTAACTCAACCGCGTGCCTTCCACTTTCACACAAGCAGGCACCCACGCCCATGAATGCTCACACACAACACACACACTCGCACACAACACACGCACACTTTTATGCTCATACTTGCACATTTGCGCAATCGCACGCACGACAGGTTCGCGAGAGAGAGAAAATCCGGGAGGAGGAAGCGACGCTGCTGCGCGAACGGGCGCTGCTGCAGACGAGCGAGCGCGAAATTCGGGCTCTCACTGCGGAGGAGGAGGCATGGAAACGACAGGAGCAGATGCTGCTTGACGCTGAAGCAAGCCGCAGATCCCAGTACGTCAACAAGAGTCGCACACGTAGCCATGCACACACGCGCACTCACACGCACATGCACTGGTTTTCCTGCAAGTTTCTGTGAATGGGGCAAGAGAACAACTGTACCTTCACGTGCACGCGTTTGTGTCTATGTGCAACTGGGTTTGTGTGTGCATGTGTGTGCTGTGAAAGTTGGCTGCGTCGTGCTGACGCTTTTGTGAACTGCATCATGCTCAGGCTGCAGGAAGACCTTGCACGCCTTGACGCAGAGAAGCGAGAGCTGGAGAAGTTGAAGCGGGACCAACGCCTTCGACACCAAAAGGTGCAACAATGCTCAGATCTGACATCATATCATGTTCTCATTTGAGAACAACAGCCGTTGTCATTGATTGTTACCTCGTAGATGTTTGCAACATGCGGTTTGCACCTGTACCACCAATGCACAGGCGTTGATAGTCATCCAGGTGATGCTGTTGTCATGTCACACCTCTGTCTATGTTTCTTTTGTGGATGTGGCTGTGCACGCATGAATCCAGGTGTATGAGCAGAGCCGGCGAGAGTTTCTCACACGTCGCCACCGCCTCAGAGATATGGAGACAAAGGTCTGTCGTGCATGTGCATGCAGTTGTGTGTGTGTGTTTGCTTGTTTGAGTGCAATGGTTTGTACTTTTCGCGTTTTCGTGTGCATGTGTGATGCGTACGCTGCCTGACACACTCATCGCTGCGACCACAACCATCCACTCTCCGGTGCGCTCATGATCGACATCAACGCCAACAACCCCGCGCGTGTCCGCTGTAGCGGATGGAAGATGAGGCTGCTGTTGCTCGTGCCCTGAACCGCAGTCACGGCCGAACACCGGAGCACCCAGCAGAGTCTGTCCAGGTAGGATTGTTGACGGCTGCTGCTGTTGGTGGTGTGCAAGCACCAATGCTCCTGCAAACAAACAAGTGCACACGTACTTACTCGAAGCCCATGCAGGTGCAGCTTGCTTCTGCATCCAGGTCGTTCTTGTTACTTTACCTCGTCATGACACTCATCTTACTTGCCTGCTGCTTTGGCTGAGCTCAGAGTAAACTCCGACGCAAGTACTCGCGGCAACGAAATGCCCCTTCCTCGCCACCATCGTCAACAACACGGCGTGATCGGCGGCACGCTCGAAGTCACGAAAGTGGACACCGCGCGGTGCAGCCTGGCTATGAAGATGAGTACACGCCACTGGAGCTGGCCAAGTTGCGAACGGCGTGGCAGGACAACATGAGCGCCTCGTCCGTGCATGATGACGATGCATCGACACACGCGCCATCATCGCACGGCATTGAGCCGCCCCACAGCAGGAGCGAGCGAAGCCACCGCCATCATCAGAGAGCACGCGACGGCGCCCGCCGTGTGCAGCCGACTGCGCGTGGCCACCATACCAACGACAACGACGACGACGACGACGATGGTGATGGTGATGACACGCCTTATCGACCACGGGTGAGAGGAGAGAAGGGGGTTGCATCTGGCATGTCTCAATGTGGCCTGTTTGCGGCCGCTCACACAAGAAATTTGCTTGCTCTGTCTGCTGCTGCTTGCATTATTCTCAACACTCGTGTACCTGTTGACCACACTCACTGCTGCCACCACTTTCACTGGTGCTGTTCACAGCGGCATGTGTCGGACCAAGTGTTTGAGACGCCCCTGAATCGCGTCAGGGCTGCGCGCGGAAAGGTTAGACGGAGGCAATGACATACATGCCTGTGATTGCATGTGTATGTATGCTTATGTGTATGTGTATATGGATGTGCGCGTCATTGTGCTTGTCTGGTCATGATTGTGGTTTTGCTGCACTTGTGTGTGTGCTTCTTTGTTTTGCTGTGTTTGTTTTTTTGGTTTTGCCTTTCACGAATGTGAACGACTGACTGTGCCGTCCTCGTGCAGGTGTTGGAGCATCAGCGCAAGGAGATGTCGGACAAAATGTCGGCAGCCCACAATTCGTCATGAACGCGGGGTCTGCGTTGGCGTTTCCATGCTTTACTGTCGGTCAATTGCCGGCTCTGTTATTCTTTCGGTTTTTTCGACACTGCTCTTGCCCACGCCCACAAGTACCATTGTCGAGATTACTCTGCGTGTTCTGTCTCGCCTGCGCTGAATGTCTTTTCTTTACCCCTTTCCCTTGATCCTGTAGCCTGGTTTATGTCCACATGCTTGTATGCAAACCACATGTATGTACCGGCATTGGTGGTGTTCCGTTTCGTCGATCTGCATGCAAGCGTGGGCTTGAGTTGCTGAAGTGAATGGTGTTGACTGGCCACGTTGTTCTGTTGCGGTGTTTGCTTGCTGTGACTTGCTGGCTTGATTTGAATGTTCTCATAGTTTATGCGAATGAACCAAACACGTGCCCTGCGCACGTGTGCTGCCTCAAACTCTCGGCAATTGATGAATCAAGAGTAACATTGACTGGTGGAGCAAACAGCACCCACGACACGGTGAAGCAGCTGCAGCGTCGTCAACGATCCATCATCCACACAACATTCCAAACTCAGCCCTCACCGAACTGCACAGCCACGCCCACATTCTCGGTGTGCCAAGAGTGGTATTGTCGCACGTCATGGGCTCGCTCGCTCGGCGGTGATGTGACTGCACAGCTACGCGGAAACGCGATGGAGAACGTGACCAACAAACATGTGGGGAAACTCCAGCCCTGTCACCTTGCCGTGCTCTGCTTGCACAAACCGAATTGGCTCACCGTCAAGCCCAAGCTCCGCGTCAAGCAGACACGGGATGTCCACATGGAAAGGTGTTGCCAGCACAAACACATCGTCAGCAAAAACGTGGTATGTGCGGTACTCAAAGTCCAGCCCCATCGCAGACACCACCGCCACAAGCTCTTCAGACGGACCGCTTGTTGTTGTTGTTGTTGTTGTTGTTGTTGTTGTTGTTGTTGTTGTTGTTGTTGTTGTTGTTGTTGTTGTTGTTGTTGTTGTTGTTGTTGTTGTTGTTGTTGCCGGGGATGATGTTGTTGAATTGGCGTGTTGAGACATGTGCGTGTTGACAGCACTGATTGCGTGCTGCGGGTGCTGTTGAGCATGGGACAGCGTCGAGCGCTGTTGCCGTTGTGGGTGGCGAGGAGAGTGCGTGATGTTGACACGCAGCAGCCCACCTGCACTGGGCACCTGCCCCTCGTAAACGCCCACGAAACGCGAAGACGCAGTCGGTGCTGGGAACTGCGCAGCGCTCACCAACTTATGCACCGTCGCCTTTACAGACATGGCCACCATCTCCATCACCGTGTTTGCAATGTCTGTGGCGCTGGGCTCGTTCGACATGACGCCGACTGCCAACTGCTGGTCTGTGTCGACAAGCAGCTGTGCGGAAAAGCCGGCAACACTGCCACTCTTCCCCCACAGCCAACCATCGTTTGCCTGGGTACGCTGGCCCTCCCATCCAAGCCCATATGCCGTCTGCCCATCTCGGTGTAGCGCAACGGCCTGAAACCACTCTGAAAACAGGTTTGCATCCACTAGACACGGCGGTGGCGGATGCCTGCGCTTGGCAGTTGGAGCTGTTGAAGGTGCTGTTCCGCGCTTGCTACTTGGATGAGCATTACTGCTATTGTTGTTGTTGCTGTTGTTGTTGTTGTTGTTGTTGCTGTTGTTGCTGTTGTTGTTGTTGTTGTTGCTGTTGTTTTTGGTGTTGTTGTTGTTGTTATTGTTGTTGTTGTTGTTGTTGTTGTTGTTGCTGCTGCTGCTGGTTACACAATCGCCGCCGTTGTCACTGCAATCGCTGCCGCTCTGAAGGAGACAGTATGAGAGCATGTCTGTGACAGTCGTGAGGTCCTGGCCCGCCATATACGCCTGGCCCTCAGGCTCTGACCAGCCCAGATCGACTGTGGCAGCAGAGACGGGCTGGCTACCGTAGGCAAGCCACTTGTCCACGATGGCGTGTGGAAGACGCAGCGCCGTTGACGACAGGCCCAGTGGCTTGAGCACGTGCTGCTGCAGGGCGTGCTCGTACGTGGTGTTGAGGGCTGCTGCCAGCGCGTGGCCAAGAAGCGCAAACCCGAGGTTGGAGTATTCGGTGCGCCTGCCTGGTGGGAAGATGAGCTGGGTGCCGTTGAGGCGGGCCAGCGCCTGCACCGTCGTGATGTTGCAGTCGTCCTCAGGGCAGGGCGACTCTCGCGGGATGCCGGCAGAGTGGGAGAGCACCTGGCGCAGCGTTGGGTCAGCAGTGAAGCCAGGCCATCGGGAGCGAAGCCGCAGCCCAGCCAAGTGCTGGCTCAACTGCATGTTGCACGAGGCAATGTGGTGGTAATGTTGGTGGTGGAAGAGAAGAGGAGGAGAAGGCAGTTTGAGAGGCGGCAGGCGGTTGATGAGGGAGTTGCATGCGAGGAGGCCGGGGGGCAGAGAGGTAACACAAAGGAAATAACTTTTTTTAACCAGGTCGGAACAACATGGTGGCAGGATGCACAACACACGGCGCACAGACACACACACACACACACACACTGACTGACTGACTGACTGACTGACAGACTGACAGACTAACGGACTGACAGACAGGCAGACAGGCAGACAGACAGACAGACACACACACGCACACACACTGCCTGACTGACACACACACAGACACACACACACAGACACACAGACAGACAGACAGGCAGGCAGACAAATTTACAGACAGGCACACACACACACAGACACACACACACGCAGACACAGACACACACACGCACGCACACACGCACGCACGCACGCACGCACGCAGATACATGTGCCTGTGAACACCCAGAGCTCTATTCATTCCCTGTTTCACCTTGTCGTCGAGGTTGATGTGGCCCTTGGATCGAAGCCGCATAGCCAACGCCGATGTGAGGACCTTGGTCACGCTGCCGAGGCGGAAGTAATCCTCAGCCATGGGCGGCACGCTGCGGTTTGAGCTCCGTGCATAGCCAAAGCCCTTCGACAGCACTGGCAGGCCACGATAACTCACTGCCACGAAGAAGCCGCCATCAAGGCCCTCTGCCGTCTTCTTCAACGCATTCTGCAGGCTCTCGACCGGAACCACGTCCACGACATCCTGCACAGGCACGTCGGTGCACCGGGCCCCTGGCTCACTGAAGATGCACGAGGGAGGTGCCAGTGAGCAACCCGGCGTGGCCTGTGCTCGTGCACTTTCGACAACGGCCAGTGGAAGAAGAAGAAGAAGAAGCAACAGCGGTGGTGGCGCCGCGGCCATCTTGATTGACTAAACACGACAGCAAGAAATGCATTCTCATTTGGCGCCAAACGCTTGAACAAGAGAAGGAGCGGATACACACACACACACACACACACACACACACACACATACACACACACATACACACACACATACACACGCACACACACACACACACACACCACCACCCCCCCCCACACACACACACACACGCACGCACACAGGCACACACAGGCACACACACACACACGCACAGGGACACACACACACACACACACACGCCACACACGCACACACACACACCAGACACTCACACACACAGCAACACACACACACACACAACGCACACAGTATGGCGTCCACTGGTGTGCCTGAGAATGAACTGGGAAACTTCCACGACCCAGATGATGTGACAGACTTCTTCTTCGACGATGACCTGGACCAGCCCCAGCACGATCAGCACGGCGGCGAAGCGGATGATGACGACCTGCTTGCGCGAGCCATGGAGTCAATCGAGCAAGGCGGAAACCTGGACCAGGCCTTTGGATCAAGCACACGCGCGCCCTCCTCCGCCCCCAACACCTCCACAGGCGTCAACCACGTCGAGGACGACGAAAGAGGTGAGCCAATGCATGTTTGTGAGTGTGAGAAGGAATGAGCGGAGAGGGGGAGGAAACACTGAGCAGCAAAGGGAGACGGAGGGGCACACACACACACACAGCGCACGTGCGATTGCTTGTGGTGTGCTTCTCTCCCGGTCCAATCCCTGCGTGCTACTCTCTACTTAAACACGTTCTCCACCCCTACCTCCACATTTTGCAGATCATACAGATGATGAAGGCCACGGTGGTGGCTCTCAGGCGAACGTGTCGCAAGCACCAGAAGCCACGCAAGAGGATGAAACCCCAACCAAGACAAAGAAGGCTGGCTCCAAACGCATGTCTTTGGACGTTGAGCGGTGTGTTGCACAACGCCGCCTTTCGCTTGCACATACTCTGCTGCGCTCGTTGTGCTCGCCAGCACGCCAAATGCTGTCAATGGTACTCTGCAACGCATGGCAGCGGTTACATCATCGTGCGTACTGCGTTCCCCAAACTCTTGACGCCATTCGTCTCATGCCTATGCTTACCACCACCCATGGCTGTTCTCCACGTCGAAACAGGCTGCTGAACCCCGAAAACGGCGTACCATACATGCTCAAGACCTTCAGCAAGCACGTTCGCTTCTCAAACAAGCCCGGCATGGAGGTACGGTGGCGGCCAATAACCGGTTGTACGATACTTGTTTGCACACGCACACAGGCACACGCACACCCCCTTTGTCAATTTGCCGATTCGCCTGTGCTGTGCTTGCGTCGCCTGCGTCGCCTGCGTCACCAATGTCTGTTCGGCAGCAGTGCCGTTCACTGTCTTTGCAACGCTGCTGCGATGCTCATCGACCTTGCACTGCTGCGCCCCCTCCTTTGGTGTAGACGCGAAACCTGCGGCTGCTGATGGACCACTATGACGCGTGGATGGACCAGCTCATGCCGAAGATGTCACTGTCAAACGTCGTGGACACCATCGAAAGGCTTGGCCACAAGGCAGCCGTCAGGGTACGCAAACATCACACACACACACACTCACACTCACTCACACATACACAAACACACACTCACTCACTCACACATACACTCTCTCACGCACACACACACACTCACAGACTCGCACACGTCGGTCGACTCACATTGCTGCTCTGCCGTTTCATGCCTGTGCTCTGCTTTGCGACAACAGACGTATCTGACTGATCTGCGGCTGAGTCAGGCGGTCCGCGATGAAGAGAGGGGCACAGACGAACAGCACAACTCGCACACTCAAGATAGCGGTGGCGGCACTGGTGATGGTCACGACGCTGGCCTTGCTGGGCGTGATGATGGTGGCACTGGTGATGACAATGGTGATGGTGAGCTGCCACGCAAGCGACGGAAATCGCGGGAGTCGAGACAGCGACGACGACAACGAGCACGCCGCAGCACACGGTATGCGCTGCGGGGTGCTGTCGATGATGACGACGAGGCTCGTGATGGTGATGGTGGTCATGACGACGTGTGGGCGGAGCACACGGAGCAGGAAACATCAGCAGCAGTCGTTGCAGCGACGAGCGCGACCAGCGATGATGACAATGATGGTGAGGAGCAACGGGAGCAACGGGAGCAACGGCGTGTTCATTCAGGGCATAAAGTTACAACTGACGGTGACGGAAACACCAACACCAACACCAACACCAACAGCGATGACAGTGCTGATGCTGCCGGTGTCAGCAGCGACGATCCCTCAAACACCAATGACCACGACGTTGATGCAGCTGATGTGTCTGATGCCGACATCAACGCGACGACCGTGCCGCAGCGCACAGCCCGTCATGACGATGCTGCTGATGCTGATGATGTCCACGGACCGCAGCAAGAGACGCAGGCTGGCGAAGAGTCGGAGGCTCGTGAGGAAGTGGTGGCGGGGACAACGAAGCAGCAGCACACAGAGGAGGCAGACACCACGAACACGATGATGGATACCGGTGGGGATGAAGAAGGAGCGAAGGACAACAACAACAACAACAACACAGATGGTGATGGAGAGACAAATGCGGAAAACGAGCCGACTGCTGACGCGGGTGCAGTTGCTGATGCCAACAACAGCGCCAACGACCACCACAGCGCCAAGAAACTACCTCATGAAGATGGCGCAGCAGGGAACGGTGGCCCTGCCACTTACCGAGGTGAGGCTTGATTGCGTGAATTGTGTGTTGTGAGAGAGTGAGAGGACGGAGCAGATGGGTTGGTTCTGGGAGTTTGATTGTGTGTTGAAGTGCTGGGCTACGCTGTCACTTTTGTTTACGCTGTTTTGCACCAGAAGGGCGGGGTACAGGGAGTGGGCAGGGATAGAGAAGTGGGGAGTGGGGTGCTTGGTGTAACTGAAAAGATCCTACAAACTCAACGGCACAGAACAAGCGGTACAACTATTCCTACGTGAACCGAATGTGTGGTCGTGGCTGAATACATCATGTCATGTCAGTCATGTCATCTCTTCTTCTCCGTGGGTTGGCTGCTTGCCTCGTTGACGATTGTCTGTTGTAAACATACGCACATGAAGATGCGATGAGTGTGAACAATGAGTGTAAAGGGTGACCCGTGACACACACACACACACACACACGCACGCACAAAAGAACAGAGAGTGTGTAGCTCGCACCGCAATGAGGGAGGCGGCAGACGTGCGCTGGCACGAGCGACGGATGAACGGCAGCGCGGCGTCAAGACGCATCGAATCCGGGAGAATTTCGAGAAAGTCCACCACATCTGCACACGTGTGTGTGTGTGTGTGTGTGTGTGTATGTGTGTGTGTGTGTGTGTGTGTGTGTGTGTGTGTGTGTGTGTGTGTGTGTGTGTGTGTGTGTGTGTGTGTGTGTGTGAGGAAAGTTAAGGATCATTTCAATGACTGCATACACGCGTGCTCTTTTGCACTTCTTATGCGTTCGCCTGCAGGCGTGTGCGTGTGTGCATGCTCGACTGACCGAGTGAGGATGCGAGGCGCATGATGAGGCCAGCGAACGCTTCGACGTAGTCCTGCCGCGGTGGACAACGGGTTCGGCGGCCCGCGCCATTGGGCACCGCCTCCTCGCTCGTCTGCACGCGCAAACGCGGTTGCTTTTGAGATGAGTGCAGCAGCGGGGCAGTCGTGATGATCGTAGTGGTGGGAAGACAATCAGGGAGGCAGGTGAAGCAGTGCTGGGCGAGTACACAGCCAGGCGAAAGCACAACACGGAAGCAACAATTCACCACAATTTACCTCAATCATTGTTTGCAGCTTGTGTAGCAGCGCCACCATCACCTGCACACAAGCAAAACAAGCCCAGACAGGTGTGGAGATGAGCATGGATACATACGCACATATGCATTCAATTGCATCACACGCACGCACAAGCACATGCACACGCACACAGGTACCTGTGGGGAGTTGTGGTGGCAGGAGGAAAGAAAGTCCGATAGGAGACGCGGATGACACGCGAGCACAAGATCGCCGCCCCGCTCTACATCCGCGGACCGCGCCAGGCAGATGAGCTGCACACGCACACACGTGTCACGTCGTGTCAGCACGCACGAAATTGGGTGGGGGTGAGGAGAATGTGTGTGTGGATGTGTGTGTGTGTGTGTGTGTGTGTGTGTGTGTGTGTGGATGTGTCCGACATGTATTTATCGTCCTGCAGAGCAAGCTGTGGCTTGATGGTCGCGAGCAACACAGCCAAGCACGTTGACACGCGCGCACCTTGAGGGACAGCTTCCCCGGAAACTCGGAACACGCATCAATCTGGCGAAAGAACCAAAAGAGGTGGAGCGGTGTGAATATCAGGAATCAATCTCACCCAGCACATTAAGTACAGCACACACACACATCCATAACACACAACACACGCAACACACACACACACACGCGCGCATGCAGCACACACCACAAGCAACAGCACCCAAACCTCGCCTCCCTTGCAAGTAAGCGCCCCACCTTTGCGCAGAGCGCGTCTGCAATATCGCCGTCAACGTGATCACAGCAGAACGCCTGCACGTGCTTGAGGTCGTTGAGCAGCGCCGCAGACCCGCCGACACCGGGCGCATACCCTGGCGCATATGGGGGGAGGTGGTCCAGCCACGCATGGCGCGCGCCCGTGTCGTGCGAGAACGCAGGGACGCTGAAGCGATGGATGGTGGTGATGGTGATGGGGGAATGATGGTTGTAGGACGTGTGGTAGGGAAATGTGGTGCGAGTGGTAGTGATGAGATGCAGCGTTTGTGTGCGTGTGTCACGAAGAAGCAACCAAAAGTACAGACAAGGGATCACCAGCCCAGAACACACAGCACACACACGCACACACGCACACACGTGCACACACTCTGACGCGCACACCCCCTACTTTGATACGGGCGATGAGAGGGCGGCAATCTTGGACACAACAAACGCAATCACAATGCTTCTTCGGTCCACATGATGCAGTTTCTCCAGACCAGTCGTGACAAGGCGTTGCGTAAATTGAAGCTGCAAGAACAATGCACGTGTTGGATCGAACAAACCGCCAAACGTGCGCGCGCGGATGTGTGTTGCACGTGTAAGTGAACAGCACAACACGTGCTGCTTGTTCATGGAAGGCAGCCACAAGACGCAGAGGCACTCTTGGACGCATGAGCACCATATCAAGCAGAAGCACCATGGGACCATGTGGTACGCATAAGAACCGAAGAACTGCATCGACAAGCTGCAACTCACGGTTGTGGTGAGACGAAGCGCCGTGTCCTCAATCCACCTGTCAAATGGACAGCACAGCCCATGAGTACACAGCAACACCATCCTCAAGAAAACGGGTCACACAGGAAATGGCACAAACACACATGCACACACACATACAAAAAAAAAAAAAAAACACTGCACACACACACACACATCTGGTTGCAGTCTCACGTATCGATCATGTCCACAATGGCGGCTGGCGGCGTTTGCATGAGCGACGCGGCCGTGCCGAGTGCAGCCTAAACAGAAAGCAAGCACGCGTGACATTGGAGGACGAACCAGAAACGATTGGTGGAAGTGGAGAGGAATGCAAAGTGGGGGGGGGGGGTTAGGGTTGTGTGCGTGTGTGTGCTTATGTGTGTATGTGCTTATGCGTGTGTGTGCTTATGTGTGTATGCTGATGTGTGTATGTGTGTGTGTGTGTGTATGTGCGTGTGTGTGCTTATGTGTGGATGTGTGTGTGTGTGCGGAGAGCAAGCTCACCAAGAGGACGTCCGTGTTGTACGCTGCGCACGCGAAAAAAAGTGGACAGGGCGTCCACCTCTGCGCTGAGGATGACCAGCCGATGACAAGATCTGGCTCAGCAACAACCTGAAAACCACGCAAGCCCCCATGGCCTTGCAGTTACGAACCAACACACATACACCAACAATGCACACAAACACAAACACGCGCGCACGCACATGCAAAACATGTCTGCACACGCCCATGCAAGCACACCTGCACATGTACATACGACACGCGCGCACACCTTGTCTGAGAGCTGCGAGCTGTGTGCAGCGTCCAGGGCATCAAGAGCATTGCGCCAGTAGCTGACACCGTCACGCGTGATGGCAGCACCGCCAGCACCGGCCGACTCCGGAGCATCGAGCGCGAGCGACAGCAGCCCACACTCCAGGTCTTCTCTGGCAAGAACGCGCGCCTGTGATTTGGGGCAAAACAGTGGTGTGGTGCGGTTGCATCAGCAGACGAAATTCGAATAATTCATGCGTCAAAGCAACGAATATACTCATAAAAATGCACACACGCACACGTATATACAAACACGCACACAGGTACACACACGCACACACGCACACGCACATACCACGCAGTCATACACATACACACGCACACACACACTCAGGCACACGCACACGCACATAACACGCAGTCATACACATACACACGCACACACACACTCAGGCACACACACGCACGCGCACACACGCGCACGCATTCACGCAAAACCTGAAAGGATTCTGATGATCGCAAACATGAACACAGATCCGTGCTTGCAAGCACAATGTGCGCAGCATTCTCCCAGTCTGCAGCAACACATCGATGTCAGGTGGTGGTGGCGTGCAGTTTGGTATCAACAACGTGTGTGTCCCACACACTTCGTACGCATTAACGCAAGGCCCTCTCCTCGGCACCACATCGCTCGCGCGAGCCAGGAGCACCACCGCCTGTACCTTCTTGGTCCAGACTGGCCAGCGTGTCTCCGAGCAACTCAAATCCTCGTGATGCGTCATTGCACCTGGCAATCACCGCGCGCGTGCACAAATGTGAATGTTGTACAAAAACAAAGTGGACCCACCCTCCGCCAAACAACCGTGCGAACCAAAACCCAGGATGTACGCGCACGCACACAAGTACGGAAACGAACACACGCAGGCGATCGATGCAAGCGCAGAGAGACACACACACACACACAGGCACATACAGACACGTGCACCCGCCTTCATACATATACAGCCACGAACAACGCGCACGCACACACACACACACACACACGCAGAGCACAGACCTGTCGACGAAAGCGCCAGCGTTGTAGAGGGTGAGCATGAGCTGTGCTTGCAAGCGGGCAGCGGCGGTGGGGGTGAGGTCGGGGTGGTTGATGTGCGATGCGCAGTCCTCAACAGAGAGGTGGGACAGCAAGAGGTTGTTGGTCGCCTCCACCCAATCCACGTCCTTCATCCCTGTTGGTGCAAATATACAGACGCGGAAGGAAAACAGCGTGTGCAAACAAACACAGGTTGCAGACGACGTGGACGAGTGAGCGGGTGGGTGGATGAGGGAGATCACTGTGCACGTACCAATCGCCGTCAACACTGCGAAGACACGAAACCAAAGGGCATTTGCACATCGATAACCATCCGCCACGCACTCAGACAAATACACCACACACACGTCAAAACGTGCATACACACACACATGAAAAACTTACACAGCGACACACACACGCACGCAAACACACGCAGACACACACACACATATCAACACACACCAATCATGGTTTCTGCGAGCACGCCATATGAGTTGCGCAGGCTGTCGCGAGTGTGCGTGTATTTGTCGTGGAAGGAGCTGGCTGCGCTGTGCGCGCCCGAAATCATAAGCATCAGCATCTCCGTGGCCAGCAGTAGGTTGCATTCTTGCAGCGTCTGTTTGGTGACAAGAGAAGTGCGTGTGTAGGACAGTGACAAGAGTGCCATGAGTGAAGACCGGGGAGTGGGAAGGAACGCGAGATGTGAGAGAGTGCGTGTGCTGGACCGGGTAGTGTTTGTTGTCAGGGTGGAGGATTGGAGGTCAGTGTCAGCAGCAGACCAATCACACTGCAGCTGCTCCAACTCTCCAGCCACCCATGCATGCAGTGACGCAATGTGACGCGACCACGTACCAGCCAGACGTTCGGGTGTCCTGCCGGCAAAGTGGAAGCAAAGTCCCGCAACTGGTCACACAACTCCACGGCGCTGAACGGCTGATAGGCGACGACCTGCAGTGCAACGCTCGTTCCTCGACCGGGGGTGGGCACGTGCTGCTGCGAATGCGATGACCCGCCCATCGAGCTGAACAGAGAGTGTGTGCGTATATGTGTGTATGTGTATGTGTGTGCGTGTATGTGTGTACGTGTGTGTGTGCGTGTGTGTGTACGTGTGTACGTGTGTGTGTACGTGTGTGTGTATGTGTGAAGATAGAGGCGCAGATACTATTGCATATGGATCGGCATGTGGGTGTGCAGCAGTGCAATTGCGCGTTAACGCTTACAAGGAATCGTCCACATGCGAGTCGTCGTGCAGCTCCACAGTGGCGAAAATGTCATCGGAGAGACACGCGCGCAAGATGCGACTGCCATGACACAAACGCATACATTGAACGGAGAACACAGCCGAACAACACCCATTGCAACGCAGGCGAACACAACGACACGTGAACACGAGTGGGCAGTGATGAGAAAAATCCGCGCTTGGACACACAACGAGACATGCAACAACACCATACACCAACTCGGTAATCGCAGCAAGTTCAGCGACGTCAAGCCGTGTCCATGATGGCATCGCATGTGTGTGTGTGTGTGTGTGTGTGTGTGTGTGTGTGTGTGTGTGTGTGTGTGTGTGTGTGTGTGTGGCGCGCACCGTTCATCGAGGTCTGTTGAGCCAAGCCAGAGCACAGACGAGCTCGCGTCCACCGGGGCAAGTGGATGCAGTCCTTCGTTGTGCAGCTCTTGCAGCCGCAGCGTGAAGGTGTACAGGCGTGTTGTCGCGCCCGTTGTCGTCGCAAACACCTGGCATCGATGGTGAAGTATGCGTGTGTGTGTGTGTGTGTGTGTGTGTGTGTGTGTGTGTGTGTGTGTGTGTGTGTGTGTGTGTGTGTGTGTGTGCGTGTGTGTGTGTGTGTGTGCGTGTGTGTGTGTGTGTGCCGAGGAAATAAGATATACTCAATGCGTGAAACAGAGCACTGCACCACTTACAGCAACTCAAAATACAGGGGCATACGACTCCGCCTGCGCGCAACCACATACACACACACTCACACACTCACAAATACACACGCCCGTACCCTTGTTGAATTGAAGCAGCAGGTCTGAGCGCTTTCGGGGAGAGCAAAGCAGTACTCGGAAACCAGGGCCGAGTGAGAGGGTGACAGACGATACAGGAAGCCCTTGTGCGCGCCCGTGTGCAGCATGTGCACACCGTTGATGGTCTGGGTCAGTGTGTTGTCCAGACGACACGCGCAGAGAGGATTGAAGGCGGACGGCTGCACCTTCCACGTCGCCTGTCA